TACAGTGTAGTCTTATTATTTGATGCATTACGTCAATCTGTATGTGCGTGTATTGTGTCGTATACTGTGTTGTTTCGTGCAACCAATAGTCCTATCATACTGGTATATCACGTGATTCAATTATGCAAACATCAATTGAAAAACGGATGTATAATTATCTGCTTTGTTTGCGATTATACAGATATATATTAATTGCTACAAACGTGGAGATGGCGAATGAATTTCATTTTGGAGATAAAGTATGTAAGGTATCTAACAGCACAGCGGTGGAATTATATATTGAATACCATCATTTGAACACAACCGTGGATACATTTTGTACCAATATAACAATGTAAGTCACGTGACATTGCAATAATCAGTAATATATAATAAAGTAGTAATAACATCATACTTATTAAAAGCCATAATCATCCTTAGGTTCCAGTGACAATGAAGCGACAAATTACATTTCTTTCACATTCACGTTTGTATACATTTTTACCTGACGTGACCTGCAAGATAATCACTTGTAGTATCAGTCTATTGTGTATATTTCACAGGTGTAAAGTAGCTCATTACAGTGAATACTGCGAATGGCTCTATACAGGAACGGGTTTACAGTATCAGCTTCTCGCCGGACCATTGTTTCAGGTGTTGTTCAGTGTGATGGGAATACCTGTCTCTCTGATTATGGAAAAATTCACAATAAATCGGAAACTTGTCATTGCTGTTTGTGCAATACTGTGGAGTGTAGTGGTTGCCTTGACAGGATTCTCTAAAGAATATCTGCATTTAGTTATCACCAGATTGGCGCTGGCATTATTGTAAGTACTCAGCAATACACCATTCTTTTAAATCTCGCCCTCTAGCGATGGAGCGCTTCTGCTACGACAAATTACATACGTGGGTGAAATCAATGCCGTTCACTCAATCGACCACTGTGATTGGTTGTGTAGCCGTTCATCAAAAAACATAATCTTCAATGATGAACCAATGAGATATATCACTGGAGTGTATGATTCATGGGAAAGATATATTAGAATTTTTATCAGCAAGCATTTTATAAACAACTTAACAGCTTATGTAGTATGTCTTCGTTTTTTAAACATTACCACCCTGTTTGTAGCTCTGGATATTCACATGTTTTATGACTAATCAACGTGACAATGAACTTCTGAATATTGTACTCTTAACGTGGCTTTGAATTCTTATATTTACTTTTGTTCTGTGAAACGCTAATGTCTGGACGAATATATATCCTGCTGGACATAGTGAATCCCCATTTACAGCACTGGCAGCAAGTGTAATATCAAGCTACTGTGTGCAGGTATATCATTCCCTTTCTTTGATGGTTTGTCTCCATGTGTCACATGTGGAATATGGTTCATACGCACACCTGACATTGTATCAACAGCCATGAACCCCATACACCAATCACTCGCTAAGTTCACCATGTATTGTTGTCTATGAAAAACATTTGTATACTGTTTCCGGAATTCGATGTTTATTTGGTTTGGTGTTTATTTATATTTTACCTCTAGTCATTTTACTTTATATACTAGAGTTTGAGAGGATTTGGACTAGGTTTATTCCACTGGGGTGTTTACGTTGCATTTAGTATGGCGTTTGTGATGGACGTTGTAGTCGATCACTTAGGATGGAGATGGGCATACTGGATTACAGCAGTGCCTGGAATAGTTGTTACTGCATTAATGATAGTGACGGTAAAAGAACCACGAAAAGAGGTAACTTGATTTGAATACATTTTTGTTTTGCTGACATGTATAAGTTGAATACTTGACCGTTGAATTGTCGTGAAAACCAAATACTTGTTTAATCATCGTGTGTTATCACTGTACATAACTTAATTTAAAAATAAAAACATTTAAAAAATTGGCAAATTATAAACATTTCAAAATATAACAAATTCAATATCACATCGTGAGCTAGGTTGTAAGCCACAAAATATAATAGCAGGGAAGTTTGTAAATTACACATGACATAACAGATAGATAATTATATCTTCAAGTTAAATATCATTATTTAAGGGTAATATTTATTCACTATTTATTTTTTCAGATTGCGACTGTAGATAAAAATAACGCCAGACATTCAAAACACGCATACCCGGACTCTGATATTTCTTTTTGCAGCCCACTATTCGTCGTACTACTAATCACTTCTTCATTGCGATGCGGTGGTGGTTATGTTTTCCGCTACAATATAAATAATTATTTCCGATATTATTATCCGCATTACCCATATGAACATTTCATGACCTGGATCCCAGTTGTTATGGGAATATTTGGAGCTCTTCTGGGTGGGATGTTGGCAGATAAAGCCGCTTACTACAGGGGATACGCTGGTAGACTGTATGTGTTCAATATGTGTATTGTAAGTTACCATTATTTGTATTTATTTACAAAAACTTAACATATTCAATACGTCGTCAACTTTTTCAGTTTTTGAAATAATTAATCATTTATTAATTATTAATTTAATAATTGAATAATTGAATTATTAATTAATTCAATAACCTGTTTGTTTGTTTTTCAGTTTGTATCGATACCTTTATCTATCGGTGTGTTGTATTTATCCCCACCATGGTGTTTTATCCTTCTCATACCAAACTACGCAGCCATAGAAATGTGGGGAGGTATTGCTATGGCTTCAGTTGTCGAACAGGCCCCTAGAGGGCGCCAGACTTTAGCGCTTGCCTTTTATGTGTTCTCTATAAATATGTTTGGGGGCAATTTGAATACAGTTGTCCCTTTTATGAAATCAGCCATAGGACTACGTTATAGTTTAATGGTTTTGCACCCTGGAGTATACACATTGGCGCTGATCTTCTGTTTGATGACTATTCCCCTTGCAAAAATTAGAATGAAACATTTAAGTGAAATAACCACAGACGATGAACGGAAATCATTGCTGAACTCGGAAACACAAAATATTAATTAGCAAAATTATTCATAACATGTTTATATGGCATAGCAGCCACGAAATTATGTGTTTATGTTTTGTTATGTCTTACTCGTATTACACAATCTCATAAAAGCCTTATATGTATTCAATCATTTAACGTGACTAGTGTTTTTTTATAATAAAGGGATAGCTTTGAAAGTTTGAAAGTATTGTCCGTACCAGACTGACGCTGCATCGCAACAAGTGGTTACTGTTTCTAATGAAGTACAGTATAAGGGAAACATAGTGAACCTGGATAACATTGGCACTGGGTCAGATATACGATACACTCCGTGGTGCATTTGTCGATATGAAGTTTTAATACACTCAGAGACTGGAATTTAGTGAGGAAATTGGTCATCTGATATCTTCAGCACTGTGGTAGAATGTAGCTTTAAATTTATGTTATACATCGTATCTCAAGTACTGGCATACGATATAAAACATTTCAATAATAAAAGTAAATAAATAAAAATAACAATAAACAAAATTGTAACATTTTTATAAACTTGGATCCTATAATGGCTTTTAGTCAGCTTGGTAGTAAATGTGTTTACGACTGTCAACAACTGAACACATTCCAGGCTGATTCTAGATAATTAACGCAATTCATATAATATTATATATCTTTATAAAAATAACGTTTAATTAAACTTCATTCATGACACGAGTACGCAAATACCAGTTTCGTTAGTTTTGTGAGAGTAAGTAAGTGAGAACATACACCCAATGTCAGGGACTACAATACAAAACTATGTGAACATTTCTGCATTTGATGAATGTTGGTGGAATAATTATCGGTCAATAATTTTTCCACCCAAGTAAAAGTGCGGCATTTTCTTAAATCCAAAATAATGAGGTATTGGCAAGTCAATACCTCTATATTTTGAGTGTCTCTTAGATTCATGAGCGTTGAACACTCACTGTGACATAGCCACCCTGACACTTGCACGACTTTTGGCCACGATTTTGTCGTAGCAAGTCGTGCTATTTTGGAGCACGACTAGTTCACTACGAGTTCACGAATAGTTTACGACACGAACTGGCACGACGAGTTCCCGCATGGTTTGCGCATAGTTTACGCACTTCCCGCATTGGCACGACGAGTTTGCGCAACTCGGACGTGAGCTGTTCCTGAACTATTCGTGGAAGTTCGTGACAGTCGTGGCATGGCGCGCACTGGCACGCATCCTCCCGCGTCAAGTCGTGCCAATGCGTGTGTCAGGATGGCTTTACATTCACGCCAATTCACATGCGTCTGTATAATGTCGCTCACTGATCAGTTCTCGCCCACAAACAACGTTACCCACAAGATGTGTTATTTATAGAAAAAGATATATGTATATTTGAATACAACAGCAGCGAACAACGCCGTTATTTTCCTCTTCGGGTGTTGTAAACGACCTCGCCAACCAGTCAATGCATTGCGCACGCGCACAAAACCTTAACAAAAAGATGCGACCTACAGGAGATGTACCTTGTTTTCCGGCGACTGATTTTCATTGGAAACATTGACTGTTATAAATTCTGCATCTTAGACTATTAATATTGAATACACATTATGTTCACAAATAAAAAAAATTAATTCGTGCTGTCGTCGGTAATTTGTAAACAATATTTAATTAAATTTTGCCCCATTCTTATTATCCTCACTACTTACATCGTGAACATGTTGTTATTATATTTCCAATGACTGGTCACCTTTCGTAAACACAAAAGTGATCACTGTGGCACAGAAGACCAAGCATAATCGTCATTTGTGTGGAGTCACAAGAAAATCAAGCGAGAGTCAAAGACGTCTAATATCTGATTTATTACATAATACACTTGTCTGCATGCAGTTTTAACACTCCCTGAGAATGAAGTTTAGTGAGAAGATCGAACTCTTCCGGAAAGTCGTGCGTCTTCTTGTACGTTGACCAGCTGTAATCTTCGGTATAATGGTACGGTACATCATTTCCATCCCAGTCAAAAGGAAACGGCCAGAAACCGTATATGTGTAATTCGTCACAGAGTGTGAGTCCCATGCTGAATACAATTAAACCTATAAATATAGAGCAAAGACTTTACTACTGTACTTAACTACATTTACGTACAAAACCTCTTCTATAAACATGGGTCGACTTTTTTTTGTATTTACTGTAAACGATCGTTAAAACAATTTAACCAGAACGAGTGTGCATTTCACGTCGCAATGTTGTGGAACGCAATTGGACAAACACGTGGAAAAAGACGTCAATGGACATACTCTTAACTAATAATTATAATTATGATAATCACTATATGTTGTCGCCAAAACCCCTCGCATATACCCGACATTTTGTTTTTTTACTGTGCAGTTCGTCACTGTAATCGCCTAATCTCTTCTGAGTTAACGGTTTTGCGGAAATTTTCTTGGTGATTGAAACGACTGGTCATTTTGGTTTAGTACAATACATGTAATTATGAACAAATGTTTGCGAATCGCCATCTCGCAATTCAAGGTCAAGTCTAGATGATGACGAATACAGGAACACGTCGGTCATCTTGATCGTGCAGATTTATTTATTTGGGAAGAATGAAAACACGGAACAGCTACTAGGACCAATAATTACGATATATGTACGCGTCCAGCAAAACTATTTCCGTATATAATAAATGAGGCAAACTTCCAAATGGTTGTTTTGAATATTTAACAGGATTATGCGTTTACCAGACACCACCTCCTTATTTTGAATTTTCGTTTCTTGAGAAGATATAATGATAAAACGCCGGTATCGTAACTTCACTATCCGCTGTAAGCTGTATAAATGTACGCTGAGATCCCATTGAGAGCGAGATAACACGCGACGTGTTGTCACGCGCCCTAAACAGTATTCCAGTGTCTACCTATGTAACCATTAGGAGCCATTAACGCGATGGCGAAAAAGATTTGAACATTATTTTGGAGACAAAAATAGGTCACGTGGCTCCCTCGTCCTCGTCGAAATCTTAGCGGGCTTTTTGAAATAACGTATTTCTACCTGATGACAGTTGCTTCTTAAGATTCCAAAAGCTCTGCAAAACCTTGAAATATTTGACGTCACTCAGCAGTAAATTCAGCCTGGTGTTCTGCAAAACATCGGATACATTGAACGCCATGGTTGTAGGAACTGAAAAGGCGTTAGGTATCCATAAGATATATCCTTTGTATTCAGACATGGCTTTTTGAAACATAGTCACATTGTGCGAATCATTCAACAGTCCATAACTGCAAAAAACAAATGTCGGTGACAAGTAATAATTTATTAGTGGATTTACACATGTACATCACGGTCTACTTGTAACGGAGGTTTATGATCAACAAAAAATGCCTTTGGGGGAAGTATTCACCCCATAGAAAGTATAATGTTCGTATCGCATAGAACACTCAGTTTATAGATTGATTTACCTTTTCTGTATAATGGTGGGGTTCAATGAGACCAGACTTGTTTTACTTCCAGCGTCATCTCTGTACCCCTGTATTGGTTGCACATTTGTTCTGCATATGCGGGTTGTCAGCATTCAACATAATAACATAACATAATCAATTAAACGAAATAAAACATAACAGTAGTTAACAGTAAATGAGACACAACAAACAGAATGTTTTCACAACATGACATAACACAATACAAACTAAAATTAAACAAGACACGAATGTCACAGTCCTCGTCATTTAATTATCAAATACTGTTGTTAAAATAATACATGGAACATCTGCAAACAGGTGAATTAATATGTACTCTATGTGGGAACAACTCATCGTAAAGAATCTAGTATTGTACTGATAACTGAAAACTTCCATTGACTCTAACACTACCATCTGACCTAATTATTTATGCAGAGAGCATGCTCAGTTGTTCTTTCAGTACTGTTTGAAGAGGTAATTGTGGATGAAAATCATGAAAAAACCCACTTAAGATTTTCAGATCTGGAAAACAAAATTACTTGCATATTCCACAAAGACTTGTTCATCAACCTACAAACTTTCATCGATATTTGCTGCAGAATTTCTGAAAAATGTTAACAAATGAGACTTATACTGAAACCAGAAACCAAACTCCCCTATTCAGCTGTGCCTGAAGAGGAGACTAAAAACAAATATGAGTTGAATGACATTAAATGTGACACATAAATACATAACATGTTCTCACAAGAGGTTGATATTGAAACTAAAAAAGTTTGACAACATTACATGTGACACATAAAATACATTTCACATTATGACATTACATATAACACAAACTAAAATAATAATATGGTTTAACGACAGTAAATCTACACACTATATATAATTCCACAACACATAACATAGTCAATGATAAAAATATCATAAAAATTAACTTTCGATTTCAATTATGCAATGCTGTAGTAAGACTGTACCTCATAACAAATTGGTAAGAGTCAATTTCTCGACCACAACACGTGTTTTGTAATATACCACTGTTGCCGATAATAGCACATGATTTGAATCTACTAGCGTTGGAAAAAGGTGATATCTGTAATAATAATAATAATAATAATAATAATAATAATAATAATAATAATAATAATAATAATAATAATAATAACAACATGACATTAAGTTTCACAATGTAAAAACAAAATGTATGGTCTTCCTTCCCAGTGAATGGAAACCTAATAGTATCCCCAACGTATAGTTGTATGGTAAAATCTTTGGAATATGTTTCAGTTATCAAATATCTTGGTTACGTTGTGTCATCGTCAGGCAGTGATTGTCAAGATATGCAAAGACAGCTAAGGTCAATATATACAAGGGTAAATATGCTTTTGCGTAATTTTTGTCTCTGTTCAGAAAATGTGAAATGTACACTTTTTAGTATTTATTGTTTTAATATTTAGTGTAATTATAGTGTTCGGCAGCTAAACAAAATAAAAGTTGCCTATAATAATACCATAATAATGCCATGCGATTAGTTTTGCCTCATGTGCTAGTTCTAATCTGTATCAGTAGAAATATTTTAAATTTGTCATCTCTACGGAAAAAGCATTGTACAATTTTAATATGCGGCTTTTTCAAAGTAAGAATGATATAATTTCCGATTGCATTAACTGCGATTCTTTTTATAAATCAATCTTTTGGCGCCATAACAGACGCCTTTTGTATGTTTAAATGTTTGTTATAGTTTTATTTTAGTGTGTTTTTATTGTGTGTACTTTATGGGTTGTGCACCTGAAATAGAGAAATAATAATAGTAATAATTGATTTAATTAATGACAGCAAACATTCGAAGTCATGTGCGCACCAGCGTGCTTGAAGGTAGTTCAGTTGATGATCAACGTAAACTACGTCACATCTCTCACCACCAGGCGGCATGAAAAACTTACCTGTGGTAATTTTTGTCTTCTGTGCTCGTCAATTGTAATTGATCCTTTGAAGTACGAGTTGTGATAATCTCTGCCTACAGGCGTATTGGCTTGTGTATAAATAAAATCCATTCCACTTACATTGTGAGCGAGTTGATCTCTGTATGAATAGGAAACACTATTTCAATATCGATGCCATGGCACTCATTCTCGTACTATTGTGACGTGTTGTGATGCATTGTGGGAGGGGGGGGGGTGTTCTATCTGACTTCACGGAAAACTACCTGATAATATTTTACATAATATAAATTAATTTATGCACTGGGTTTTATTTCTCTATTTTCGCTAAATTGAGTTCAACAAGAAAATGTGGATACAATATAACATAACAACTACTGTGTCAAAAAGAAAAAAATGATTTCTTTCAACTTGTAATATACTGATGCCAACTGGTTCAAGTTGACAGTGTGTATACAACTCGCAAATGAATGAAAATATTGTAAGAAAAAGGTAGAATAAATAAAATTGAAAAGTTTGAAAAGTGATATAAAAAACTGTAAATTGCAGTTTGTAAATTGTATTTTCAGTTTGAATGCCGGTGAACGTTTGTCCAGTCTGACGACTTCGTTTGTACGCATATGTACAGTATGTTTATTCTGAGTCGCACCAGTATTTGCAGACAGAAATTACACAAACTACAACCATAAATGTGTACGCAAGCACGGTAAACAAACTCGAGAGCATAAGTGAATTCGAAGTCATGTGCGCACCAGCGTGCTTGAAGGTAGTTCAGTTGCGTCAGCAGAAAAAGAGGAACAACATCGTTTCGTTTCATTCTGTCTCGGCCAGACCTTTACATATTCATATGGAGCCATTTATCTGAGCACCAGTTAATATCGATTTCCAGAAACGAGCACACGAACATGATTGTCTATTCATTATTATGCAAATCTTTCCACAGACCGCGACTGTGTTTCCATATACAGTTACTTTATACATTGTTTTTAACAACAGTTTAATCTCAGATGGAAGACACAAGTACAGTAAATATACACAGACCAGCTGTGTCTGTGTGCGTCTGTCAATATTTAAACATTGATATGACAAACAAATGGAGATTTATTGTTGAGTTGGTCATTATTTAATAAAGGGTACACAATTATTCACATCTGGGTCCTTGTAGATCGTAGATTTTTAAAATAAGTAACTAAACGTACCTTAATTCAAAAACACGAGAAGTATTCACCGCCCAGTTCGCCTGTAAATTCTGCTTTTGTTACATGAAGCTTTTTTATGAGGTTGCGGCTCTTTCTGTTCAGCTTTTTTCGTATCGGCACACCAGTGGGGTATCTGGATATATAAACCATACACTATGGTAATGAGTTATGACGAGGGGCAAATGTTATCTTTCGCGAACCGTAAGCTTACCTACTGAAATGAGGCCATCTCACAAGATTTACAAGGAGAACAATGACCTAATTTCCCATAATGCATTTCATTGTTATCAAATAGTTCGTTGCTACTGCGATTTCCCTCATTTTGTTCGTAAAAAAATAAAAAATGATTCAGCTTGGACAAACTAAAAATTTGCTTCCACTCGCTTTAAAAATAAATTGTAGTAATAACAAAAGTGTGAAATGCAAAATCAAAAAAGTCGTATAGACGCAGTAGACCTTCCCCTGTTTGAGCTAGGTGACTACTCGGGAATACATTATAATGAGACAACGTTTTATATCCTAAGAACAAATTTGGATAATTGCCCAGTGTTTTGAGGTTTGGAAAATACAGGAGGTTAAATTTTCAGTTTGTTAAAACCTGTCATTCAATACACCATAAGTTTGCTTTTATGTTAAACTGAAGTCTGGAAATGTATTTGAAATAGGGATATTTCTTATTGAAATATGCTATTACTATAAGCACACGCCATCCCTGCGTATTATGTACATGGTGAGCAAACATTGTCAACACCAAACAACACAATAAGTAGGTACAATTGGCGATTAGAAAAAAATATATGTTAAATTATGAAAATTCTACTGCAGCTTTGAAAGCGGTTCTAAGTATATTAGAACTTCTTATATGAAATTGGAAATAGATCTATGTAATTGTTTAAAAGATCACTGAAAATGAAGGTTACTTATGTACTGTTTGTCCGTGAATAGTTAATTAATAATAAAGATTAACAGAATACAACTCAACCGTACATGTCCGTCAGTATTTCGTGATGTTTATAAATAGCATACAATTATCGTGACATCAAACATTTTGTGCCACTGTGACAGTGTTGAACCACTGTTGAATCTAACTTAGCTCTCGTTTGTCATGGATTAATATTTGATGTGGGGATTTGGATTTGGACTGTGTATGTTAAAGCG